TGGGCATTCTTATAACCTTGCCATTGACCTTGTCGATGTTCCTGGAACCTTCTAGCAAATACGCCATTGGATTTGGTGGGTCCAATGAGTCGTGGCTGAGGGTCTTGCCGAAGGCCGAACACCGGTCCATAGACCGTGACATAAAGCGCTAGGCTTAAGCCTAGAAAACTAGCCTAAGCTTAGAGTGAGGCCCTAAAAAGAGTAGGGCCCTAAAAGGAGGCCCTAAAGCCTACCCTAAAGCTTACCCTAGAAATCCCTACCCTCTTATTAGTCAACCTCCTATAAGTTACAATATTTCAATCTAATATAATATTATATATTGATATATGTTGTGTCACACACGCGTAGGTCTATACGTTCTCATATTATAACACCACATCGTAATCTGTCCCCTATGAGTAACAGTAATGATGGAAAGGAAACTGACGTTTCTTATAAACGAAAAAACAATGAAAATTCCAGACGCATGGTACACAGTACACATGATTATTTCTGATCATCTGAAAGACTCATGCCATCAGATGCGTCGAGCAGGTTGTGGCTATCCATAGAATTGCCCACTTGTCTTGGCCTTGGGCTATACGAGCGCCAATTCCCTTGCCCCAAGGGAACGAAAAAGATTGAATACATTCTTATCCGGTGCGGCGCAGATTTTGGGTCTCATGATCCCATTTACAAAAGTTCATCTCTTGATAGCAGAATTCAGTGGTTTCGTTCGGCGCGAAACGAGGCACAGCAAACCCTGAAGCATTGATTACATGACCTGATAGGATGAATGCCTCGGAGCATGCGGTTTAGGGGCAGCCAATCTGCGTTTCCGCCTTACCACCGACGAGTTCGGGGGCTGGTGAAAGTCACGGGTCGGCTCGGCGGGCGACCGCATGTTCTATGATGCTTCCGTCGATGTTGGCTGCGGCAAGTTCATTCACATGGAAGGTTGAGAAGCCGGAAAAAGCTCCGCCTGCGCCAGCCCTGGGCGAGAGAATCTGCCACGACAAGCACAGCCAGTACGACGCGCATGATGGCCAGCAAGACGGATGGTCTTCAAATGGCTGCAGATTGTCTGCAGCTGGTAAGACAATGAAGGCAGGAGACAAGGAGGTCTACTGGCACCCTGTTGGCCCTGGGGCCGATTACCACCAGAACTTCAAGATGTCATGGATCGATGGATGCGAGACTATTCTTCGTAACTCGTGCTAACCGGTGTCTACTTTCAGGCAACAACGGAGGAGCTGGTGGCTACAGGGACGCGGGTTGCTGAGATACAACTTCTATGTTACAGTACTGGACGGTGATTATGGATTGCTTTTACACAGTATTTGGTCCATCGGCCTTTTCACTTGCCCCATGGATTCGCCATAGAGTTTTCTCTAGCCCAGTCCATCCTGGCCCTCGTAAATGTCTCCGTCAGAGTCATATTCGATGTCCTAGAGCATAACCAAAACTGCGAAAATGGGGAATGGGGATGTATTTTGTGGGCTAGTCGCCATCTCGTACAATGAAATTGGCTCCCCTAGCAATTCGAATTAGAAATTTTGAAATGATTTGAAACAGTGAAGTGATCTTTAAAGTGAATTTGGGATGAACATGGTGAGCAGCAGGAGAGGTAGGGGTGGGGCAGCCAAGCAAATCGGTTTAGGCTCCAGTGCTGTGCTGAATACAAGATACAAAGAACCAAAAATAGTAATCCAATGGCGATGAGCAAAATAAAAAGTCACCAGTACCCTGAACATTCTCACCATCCTTTCTCCCTGGCTCTATTCATACATCTACATCATCAACCCAGCATCTAGTTCTACCCACACAATTATCATTAAGTCAACCCATTCATTCAACCAACCTAGACCGTCGATCTCGCAAGCTTTAGTCAGCTTACACAGTGTCCCTTACGCTCTTCTGCCAAAGCACATAAGCGAGCGACATCCTGATTTTCCCGATCACCTTCTTCTCGCATTGCCTCACCCAAGCACTGAGCATTTGTTTTTGCACAAAAGCATCATGGGCAAAAGAGTTTACCCCCGCACCATCGTGGAAGAGGCCCCAAGCCATGACGGCAAGCCCTGCTACGCGGCGTGGGAAATGATAGAAACGGACCCCGATACCCAGACGCCGCCAGACGCTTCCAATCGACCTAAGTGGTCCATCCAGATCTACGAGACCACGCCCGCGGCCGGCGACCGCGAGTACATCAAAGGAATAGCAAAGGAAATTGAGCAAAAGACGCGCCGGGACCGCGACAGACGCGGAGCGCCGAATCGCATCGATATCCACGGCTTCCCGCTTCCCGCCGACTTGCCTGAAGCAGATCGCGTGGCACGATGCGCTGTGCACCATCGCGCCGAGGTCGCTAAGCGAAACGCCTCCTGCACGGCCGACTTCTTCATTCCTCCAAATTTCAGCGAGTTGTGGGAATACCAAATCATCATCATCGACAACCCTGGCGCAGCAGAGCCGGGGGGTGGCGCTTTTCTTACCGTGTCTTTCGGTATGAGGCCTGAGGTCGCGGCCGAGGGGCTTGGGGCTCTCGATTATGATATTGCGCGATACACGGGCAAGTGTTTGGGTGATAGGCTGTGGAGTTACATGAGCTTCGTCGAGTATTTCTACGATTCATACGTTGAGAACGGGAGGATCTACAGCGACTTGGAGAAATGGCGACGAGAGGCCGAGGCTGGAGGGACCATCCAGCAAGTCGAGCAACATGAGGGTGCATAGCTGATGGACAAGAACATTGATGGGAACCAGAAATCATGTACTACGGAATAAGATCGTATTCAAAATTCATATGCCAGCTGAAGGAGCACAACGCCGCCCATTGCCAAAAAGACAAAATCGAGAGAAAGCAACGCCTACGCCTCTATATACGTCTAAACGTTCAACCACGAGCACCTGTATCACAGCAACGCCGGGGCGCCAATGTTCGTCACCGTGTTGCCGTCCCTGTCCAAGGTCATGGCGGCGTTCCCGTAGGCCCCGTACGTAGATGCAGCACCAGCAGGCTGCCGGGGAAACGCCATCTTCGCTCGTGTCGCGAAGCCGTTGGTTCCGAAGGCCTTATCCACCCACTGCTTTGCAGCGTTGGTATTGTCGCTGCCATACTTAAGCTTAAACTCTGTCTGAGCTTCGACGGCCCAGATCTGTGCTCTGCCTTCGATGCCGCCGAGATATGTGTCAATCCAGTAGGCGTAGAAGGACCGCAGCGATGGGTTGCCACCCCCATTGCGGGTTGGCTCATCAGGTTGTGATCCCCAGGTGTAGGTCTGGTCGAACTCGTTGAGGACCAAGTCTATCCAGTTTGAGACCCGCATCCACTTGTTCCAGACGTTCTCCTTGGTGCTGGGTTGGGTATGAGCGTATCTGAGGTAGTGGAAAACGCCGGCATGCTGAAAGACACACGCGAAGTCAATTGTTATTCATATCCGGTAAAGGTAGTATCACTTACACTTCTGATCCAGTTTCTGTTCAGGTTAGCCGCGCTTGGGTGGCTACTTGTGAGACCAGTCGGCTGGCCTTCACCGAAAAAAGTCCCCTTGTGTTCGTTGACTTCTGCCTCTACGAGAGCGAAGTTCTTCGTCGTCTGGCCCAGCGGCATGCCCCCATCACGCTCAGATAGGGGATCGGATCGTGCAATGGCGTAGGCAAGGACATCATCAAGCGGCGCCCCTCCCGCCGGGATGCCGAGGGGTGTATTACGTGATTGCAGCTTGTGGTTTCGAGGGTTGTTCTCATCCAAGAGAACTTCTGCGACCCACGAAGACTGTGGCTTCATGGACAAACCGATAGGAGTCAAATCTCCGTCTCCGAGCCACTCGAAGAACCTGGCTAGCGTCTGCTTTTCGTACACGTGGTCGTCTAAGCTTAGATGTTAGCTACAAGCCAACACGAAACCGAAGAACTACAAGAGGGGGCAAAACATACTCTGGAATTTCTTCGTGTCGCCGACGTCTTTCTTACTACCAAACTTCAGATCTCCGCCGCATTTAGCATCGCCCTCGAGGTAATAGTACTTGTCAATATTACTATCCGTCATCGCGTCCGCACACGGCTTATGTTTGCCACAGTCAATAAAGAATGTCATGCCAGCAACATTAACCTTCGGATCGTCCTTGGTCAACGCCCTCTCCGATAAAAGGCCGTCACGGGCCTGGAGGCCGGAGGCGGTGCAGCCACTCTCCCTCTTGGGGCTGTCCAGGATGCAAGAGTCGCCAGCCGCCCGCGGCACAAACATGGATCCCCATCGGGCGTTGCGTGCTGCGTTCTTCGCCTTCGACGAGCGGCACGACTCGCAGGTAACCGCCGTCTCGCTGGGGTTTGCACTGCTGGCGCTGGTCGTTGTAGCTTGCGGCTTGTCGCTGGTCGTAAGGCCTCCATCTGGCCCAGCGGTTGTTGTCGGACCGGCATCCTTCGTCGTCGTAGTTGGAGGCTCTTCCTTCTTCGTAGTCTTCGGCGCATCGTCCTTCTTGGTTGTCTTCGGGTCCGGCTTGGAATCGAGCGTCTTACAGTCGCCCTTCTTCTTCCGCTTGCAACCCGTGCTGGTCCCGACTGAATCGGGCGCGTTGACCAGCGAGTTGAAGGTGCTGTCGTAATCGAGCTCGATCTTGTCGATGCCACAGCTCTTCTTGACCCAGCCGTCGAAGAAGTCGGTCGGGTTCAGGGAGTTCTCCGCGAACGACTTGGCGCCCTCGACGGCTGCCTTCGTCGCTGCCCGTGCTGAGGCTGCGGCCTGGCCGGCGCCTGGGACGAGGGCGAAACCGATGTTGATGCTCTCGACGACGGCTTGAACAAAGACACCGCAGATGATCTCGTCGAGCTTGGCCAGGCCCTCGATGACTGGAGTGATGAACGCCTCGGCGACTGGGTCAATCTCTTCGGCACAGAAACAGTCGCCCGGGAACCATTCGTAACCGTCAGGGTCTCGGGGATACGGCCCTTCTCCGTTGGGGATATGGTCAGAGTGACACTATATTTCATTGATATGATTAGCCACATTCACAAGTCCAGACTATTCCTTAAAGCCTTGAAGGGAAATCACTCACCCCGACCCTTTCTTCTGGCTGGCCCTTTTCCTTGCAAAACGTCCTACAAGGGGTCAGGCCGTCGTTCTTGACTGTTTTGTCAATGTAGATGACGCATGTGCCATCCTTGGCCATGGCGTTGTAGAATTGATCCAATTTCTCATCTCTGCGAGATATTTCGGATGCCTGAAGAGCGCTGGTGGTGGCGAAGAGCAGACTGCCGAGTAATGGCAAATACGCGAATGCCCTCATATTTTGGCAATGACGCAGTACAGAAGCTCGGACAAAAGGAGAAGTAAGAAACGATGAATGATATCAAGTACAATGGCTTCTGGTCTCGCTGAGAGTGTCCAACGACAGCTATCGAGAGTTGCCTTTATATATCCATATGTTAACAGATCATGCTAGGTCATGATAGACCGCAATGAAGTTGAGCCACCTCGAACTATTCCCATATTCTAATTTTGTTCACGAGCGGGTCTGCATCCTTGCTTGTCAATTATCGCCCGAAGCCTAGAGGAACGCATCAAGTTGATGTTACCTTGGCCTCGTGGGGATGTAAGATCTCGGCCGAATGCGTTCCCTCCAGAAGTGCAGATGCAGTTAAATAACCCACTGATCAAGAATATGTTTCTTTTTGTTGTTGCCCAGGAACTGCGCCCTGTAGCAGCAGCATCCTGAATGCTTTGCGCGCCGCAATCCAAAATAGGATCGCACTTATCCAGGGGTTCGCATCTTCCTGAAGGCGGCACGGATAAAGCCTGGCCAATTGCATTGGAGGCCTGCCCGAGGTAGACTCAGACGCAGCTGGTCCCCATGTCTAATTGAGTGTCAGCTTACCGATTTTAATTGCCAAGAGCTCCAGCCGTCACAACTGCCAACCAGCCCCGTTCAGTGGCAGCCTGGAAAATGGTCAGCATGTCTCCTGCTCTTTCGAATTGATTTTGGGTGCGTGGGTAGCCAAGCGCGTATTGAAGCGGAGTCTGAGGGAGATGTCCCATTCTCCTCCGCGCAACTTCAATGTCTGTTAAGCGCCGGCCTTACAGGCTCCAAGGTCACAATTTCTTCAAGACCCCCAAGGATACGTTTTTGAAGTCTATTTAGAAATGCGACATGAAATAACATAGTCCATAGTTGCTCCCGCTACATTCAAGCGATAGTCCCGAGGCCGGTAAAACAGTCTTGCTCAACTGCGCTTATTCTGCATCTATGGATTGTTTGTTGATGGATGCAACTATCTTAGCTTTATTTGCTTGACTAAATTAAGCGTCTTCTGGGTCTTTATCCAGACAACCTGGTTCGGTTCGGCGCTTCTCTGCGCAACGAATCAATCAAGCTGCCGTTTGCCCTCAGGAAGCTACAGTGCAGCCACGATCATACATCCTTCATGACTTCATAGGTGCCATCTCTGCGTGCAAGTTGAACTTCCCTGAAACATTCCTCGTGAGTACGTACGTGGGATTGGGAAGAGAAAGGGCAACACTCACTCTGTGGGTTGGGTATAAATGAGCCCATCAAATACGCAATCCAGCTCTATCAAAGTCAGAAATGGATAAAACTTGTCTCCCGAGCCCCGTTTGTAAAGTCGCACACCGGGCGCTGCACCAATATCCATATAGCCTTGTTGAGGGCCGATCCTTTGGCTCAGCGGTGTACTCAGCGTGACGGATTCGATAGTCTTGAATGAGGATAACATGTTCTTCGACCCCTGGACGTCGAACTCCTTGATGCCGCAGAAGCTACTGTTAGCTTCAATGCCGCAAGTGAGGGATCGCGCTGCAATCCATATGTAAACGTTTTGTAAATTCTTGAACTTGTCGAACCGCAGCCAGTGGAAGTCGTAAACGTCGTGGCGACGAGGGATACCAGGGAGGTCGTAATTAGCACACATCAGCAGCGCCGGGAAGTCCGGACTTAGAGACAGCTTCAAGCTTCGGGCATGTTTGAAGAACGCCTGGGGCGTTACCCCCGTCTTAGCCGTCTTCATCGCCGGGTGTATGGCGCAGGCGCCGAAGAACATTTGGACTGTCGCCAGATCGGTGAATATGAACGTTGTCGACTCGTATATGGATTGAAGGCACTCAGTAGAGCTGAAGTTGTAAGTATTCAGGTATGGCCAGGAGTCATATGATGACGGGTCGCCACCTACATGACCTTGCACGACAATAGCATGGGAATGTATGCGGTTGCCCACGGTCGATGGGGCGTAACCTTCCTCTCTGTTTTCCAGCAGACAATTGTCGTGGTGCTGGATCCACGGATAGCTGAAACACCGTGCTTTTCGAATGCGCGCTCGCCACAGAGCCAATGATTCATCCATGGAGATTGCAGTCGTCTGCAGTACCGTGGCGCGTTGTCATGCCGGTCTCGCACTATCTCCTGGCCCAGCGAGACTCCGAGCTTTTCTCTCATCTTCTCAATGTCGCGTTGTAGTTCGTCCTCGACCTGATACTCCGTAGTGCACGACCATCGACAGAAGTGCTTGTCCTCTGCGGCGCCATGCCATAGAATATGCTGGCGAAGACCGCATGAGCGCCACAGTTGGAAATAGACAGCATCGCGAACCTCGCGCGGCAGACGACTAACGAAAGCGGACTGTGTCTGGGAGTCGCAAATCATTCTGACGCTCAACGAGTTGGCTAAGATATCAATTGGGCCGTCGAATGTTGTTTTTGTTTGAGCGATCCTGGCGGGGTTGACGAAATGCTGGCAGCAAACCTGCTGTTGCAGTAAACAGCGTAAGCACGACCCACGCGGCTGTCTTTTGCATGGGTTGACAGCCCCCAAGTTGAAGGATTTGCAAAGCCACACCCAGTATGTGAATGGAAGTCGGGGTCGAAGTAAGAAGGAATCTGTCACAGTTTCACCCACTGTACCTTTTCAAAATCAGATGGCCATTGGGCCGCTCGGCTTCGCTATCAGAAAAGAAGGGGCTCTACTTTCAAGAGACCTGCCCGGCGCCTGGTGACACAATCTCAACCATACAACGAGATGTTCTCGCACGTGAAAATTGTCCATACAACGTGTTTTGGTCATGAACCTTTTGCGATGGATTTACTCGACGCGTCCGTTACCGTGGACATCGGAAAATAAATAAGAAGAGAAGAAAACATGTCTTACTCTGTGAAGCGTTTTCCACAGAGGCATTGAACTTTGGTAGTAATTCTCACTAAAGAACCACGTGGTAAGTTCCGAGCTGTTCCATACGAGCTAAATCTCCCTTGGTATGAAGAAAGACTATTTCTTGCAGATTCTTTCATAGTAAACGGCTGAGCAACATGTCAGCGAGTGAGTGCAGCCTCAAGGTTTCTCCCGTCGTCATTGACGCTCCTGTCAGGAGGTCAAATTTCCAACCCAAAGCCACCTCACGCGATCGTACTCATTCGAAAATTCGAGATTCCGATCGATTTGTCGTAGATAAGCCAGTGAGGGCGAGAGGACAGGCTTGGTAGTAAGGTATGAAGATAATGAGCACTCGCAGTAAAACCACCCAATGATCTAAATTTTCTTCCACTCATTTGACAAGATTGGCCATCTCCGTTTGTTTTACTCCGCGCCCGTAAGAACAGGATATCATATGGCCGCGTCGACAAGAGGTGTGTAGTTAACAGCCGGGATATCAGCGGGTAACAGCATACGATGCTTACTGAGTAATTTCTGTGCTCATCAATCATCTAAACGCCCGATAGTCTACTCTCTTGACAGGCCACTTTTTTTCCTACGTGTTTCGTGAAGTCTGAAATTGCTCGCTAATGCCGGGCGCTTTTGTTCATGTGCCAAGACTGGCTGCATTAAGAAGGTGGCTTGTAGCCGAGAACAAAATCGCGCAAGGAGGAACCGATGTCTCTTAACCGACGTCTCTTACGCATGGCCAGCTACTGGATGCTGACAAGTGCATGTCTAACGACTATCATCTTTGTCAAATTGTCTTGTTGTTTTAGTCAGACTATTCCTTAGACTCTTGCCCAGACCCTAAGCAAATCAAGTAGTGAGAATTTGAGATCCGTAGAAACGAACCATTGGTGCGCCAAGTCAAGCCCAGTTTATTATGAATCAAATTGTAACTCTTCTAATGCACGCGTCCGGCAAAGCAGCATAGACCGACGATCGAAATGCAGTCAGCTCGTATTTACTCCGGGGATGTTGTAGAAAGTTTATGGTTCCGATTGACCGCGCTGTACCTTCTCCCCACTCATTCGGGCGCCTGGGCAAAGATGCATTATCTCCACATAGGTATCTGAGCTGTCGCTAACTAGTAGCCAAAGCATTCAACTATGAGCCCATACTGGCGAAGATACTACCGGACGTCTCAGCGGCCTGCGATGTTCGAGCAGTGAGAACAGACTTATCTTCTTCTACTTCAAAGAATGGAAGAGCGGGAGGGACAAGAGAGCGGGCAGAGGCGCTACATTTCCTTTTGCCATTGTCAGCAGGCAGTACGCATCATGAGAGTAGTGTAGGCCGATCATGCTTACTTCGTTTTTCGTGAAAGACCCTGGTACTAATTTGAGTCCGCCTTTCCACGATTGCACGAAAGACCCCCCTGTACCTGCATCTCGAAGCCCCTGTCATGCCACACTACCCGGGCGAAAGCGGCTCGGGTCGATCCTTGAAGATCTGGGGATGTTGGGGAGCAATAACGATCCTTTGAGGTCTTGGTGTAAGACAAGCTGCAGGTCGTTAAGCGACGTTATGAACGAGGATTCTTTAGGGGAACGTGATGCAATGCCTTCTTCGTGGTGCAGCGGCGACACAGGTTGTTGATAAATCGACTATAAAGAGGGCGTAGAGTCATCCCCTTTTTTGCAAACATCCGCAAAGCAGATCAGCTCAGAAGCCTCAGTAACCTGATCAGAAGACACCAAAACGGCCACAATACAATTCAAAAATTGTTCAAACTTTGGTCTCATAACACCAACTTATACTCAACACAATGAAGTTCCAACTTTCTGCTCTTGTCTCCCTTGGAGCCTTCCTCGCTGTCGAGGCTGGTGTTGCCGGCGTCTCACAGTCGCAAAGTCTCTCTGCCCGCGATGGCGTCGACCTGGCTGTCCGGTCCGCCGCTGCCAACATGACTTGGGCCGACCTCGAGTCCGGCGCGGATGCTGCTGCCATCTGCGGCTCTCTGGGTGTTTTCGAGCTGCCCGAAGGCTCGGACCCGGCTCTCGTTCGACTTTGTTCCGATCACCCAAGTCTTGGCCGACCCGGCTCCAATGCTGGTGGAGTTGGCACTCTGGCCTGTGCCAAAAACCAGAAGGGTTGCGATAAAGGATACTGCTGGAAGCAGTGTGGCGAGAATGGTGCTGGTTGGTGGTGCTGGACAGCGCTCGGCGACGGCTCGGGCCCCTGGAAGACATGTGTTGCGGGTTCTGATTGCGGTATGGGGGATCCTTGCGGATGGTCCAAGAATTTGTGCCCTAAGTGTGGCTGCAGCTGTTAAGGCAAAATGAGATGCCGAAGAGTACAAGAATATCTGGGGGATTAAAGAGGTCATAGTTGAACAGGCAGAGTTAGTCGGACTCTATGATCCATTTCTAGAGCACGTCAAGGTACATCTCAGCTTCCACATAGATACTCGCGGCGTTGCGCCATGATCGGCCAGCAAATATCAACACTCGAACACATTGAAGTCACAGAAAGTGGACGCTGAACCTGTTATTCACTGTAAATTCGATGGTGCAACACCAGTTCTTTGCCCATTCCCCCACCTGGTCCACATGAGAAGTAAACTGATGACGGAGGTGCCATAGATGCTGGTTAGTCACGATTTTCAGAACGTCGACTCGAAGACAAAGCCTTGTGAGCACCGCCTGGTTAGCTCCAATAGCGGTGCAGCTGAGGATGGCACATTTCAGACTTGAACGTTAAACAGTCTAGACTCAGTAGCATTAAGAGCTGTAATTGCTATGCTTTACAGGCTGAGCTCTTGTTAACTCAGAGACAGACAGGGATTAACGTGTATGGATTTCACATGGTAACGCCTTTTCAACTGATCAGGTTAACGTCACAACAAGGTAGGCAAAAATTAGCATAACAGAAGCAAGATTCACAAAAGAATCGGCCAGCGATGATTCTTTGCAGCTTTCATTTTAGGACTCGGAAGCTGACTACAGGAACTTGTACTTCGGAGGATTGATTGATCATTGCCGTAATTCATATCGGATCTGTAATACCTAGTCTACTGGCAGTCGGGGTAACAAAAGTCCTTCCGAACGACTCCAGCAAGGTACGAGCGACGACACAAGTGGAGTTGGGCTGATCGCTAACGACACCGAGACGAGAATTGTGATTGAACTGTTACGCCGAAGTCACCCGACCAGGAGACGGGTTCGATCCCACTCAAACCACGCTTGACAAATGGAAGCTTGTACCGCGGATGTCGGGGAGTTCTACCTAAAAAATGGCATAAGCGCGACATAGTGTTGCACTCGGCTCTGAACAAGTGGTGCCGTTTCCAGCAAAAAATCGGCAATCGTCGTGTATGACTCGCGATCTTCCAGGGGCACGATCAAAGCATGTAGCCAGGCGCCAATGCCCATATATACGCCTCCGCGCTTGGATATCCCCTAAATCTGTGCTGCAAGAAAACACGTTTTATCGTTATTTTCCGAGCAGGAGGGTCAAGCCAGAGATGTCGCTCTCAGAGCCGCCCGATGGACTCGACCTCACCGAAACCAAGATCCCGTCGCTGGTGTCTGGGTTCGTCATCACATGGGTTCTTGGAGCAGCCACCGTTGCGCTGCGCGTTACAGCGCGGAAGCTTGTGGGAAACCAAATTTGGTGGGATGACTGGATCATAATTGTGTCTTTGGTAGGATTTCATCCATCTCCCGGAAACTCGCTGTGACTTGTCACGATCGTCAATATGGCCAAGGACTAACAAGCCTTTCCTACCAGATATTTTCAGCAGCTTTTATGTTTGACGTTACGTGCTATAGTCAGTCACACTTTCGACACCGGGATGTCAGACGGATTACCCTGGAGTTTTTGACTAACAGTGATGCAGTGACCATAAATGGC